ACAAGTTAATTCTAGAGAAAATAAATAAACAAAAATCTTTACCAAAATATTGTAAATTGTTTAAAAATGAGGGGGTAAGTAGTACTTTTTATAAACTTAGACTGAATTTTTCTCTTTTGGTCCCCCAACTTTTGACCATATGATACATCTTGCATCAAAGATTTTAATTTTATTCAATTCATTTTAATCTTTTCTTTTCCATTTTTATTGTAAACAATTTATGGTTTTCGGCGAAAAATAGGGTTTTCTGGTAAACCTTGAAGTGGTAATCCGTCGTTTATCAGACTCAGGGGTTGTTTGTTTACCTCTTAATAATTCCATTAAGAGACAGCTTCTGAACCGCTAAGAGGTGAATCATGTTTGGCAAAAAAAAAATCTACCTCTTAATGGTTCTAAAATCCTCCGAATGATTTTGTATCTTGGACCTTTCTTAACCATTCAGCGCCCTAATTTCATTCCGAACAACTACCAAACAATTATATTTCATTTTTCACTACATCATAAGAGTCACTTAATCATTCTGACCACTTAATCATTCTGCACTAAATCATTCAGCAACTGTCAAACTTTTAACTATTTAAACAAACCTCTAGCATTTTCTTCGCTTTGGATGGTAGAGTTGATTGATCAGTTTGTTGACGCTATTGATCATGTTTTCTAGAAATAGAGATAGTTACGAGTAAGCAGATCGTATTTATGGATTCGTAAAATTTACTGAAATTATATGAGAATTCATCTCATGCAACCTCTACTGGGGGGCAATTATCACTGCTTATGGATCTGAACCGGTGTGAACTAAGTAAGGCCTTTTGAACTGAATCTTAAGTAATCTATCAGTGGTGCAAAGCTAATTGCCCCTTTTCAGTAGGGGGCGAAAGTTCATTTGTTCATGTATCATATATACCACGTGTGATAACAGAACAGCATTTCCGCTCAGAAATAACTGAAAAAACAATTAAATGTACTTGGTTATTCGGCTTTACTTTTTTTAAACACTGGTGGACTTATTAGGAAGAGAGAATAAGAAGCTGGTTCACGAAATCGTTGAAGATGCCTCGAACCATTTTAAAACCCGTCAAATTGATTCCTGAACATGAATCGAGCACAAAATATTTAACCCGTCCATACCTCTAATTATTTCTATTTTTCGATTAATTTTTAAGCGATCAGTATGTTTGTCAAGCATCATTTATTATTGTTTCTATTTTCGCCAAAATAATATCTGGTTGATATCATAACTGAGAAAAGCCATTGACATAGCTAATCCGTGTGATGAAATCTGCAACCGAACCAAATATTACAGTTAGGTTTTTTGTGTTACACTGTTGTTAATAACTAAAACTCAAATTTAAGCTTCAATGTGCTACTTTAGCCTTTTCGGGTCTCAATTTTCTAACGATGATACCCAGTGGTAACATAAACATGAATCGAAGTGGTACCATCTCGAGACATCTATAGAGGTTAGGGTGGTCCCATGGCACTGCTCAATCGTCCCGTCTTAGTGGGGGGGAAATTAGGACTTTTAAAGGTGCCATTGTTGGGGCTCGATGTGTTCCCCGAACAGGCATGTTGCCGAAAAACGAAAACGAGCAGCCTACGAGAGCATATTAAAGCTTAAATTTGAGTTTGATAGTTAACAATGACTTGGGATCATATGAGACCAACTTGTTTTCATGAGACCTGTGAGACCATTTTTTTGCACTTGAAACTTCACAGCAAAACATTGTGAAGGTAACCTTCACAGTGTTTTTGCTGTGAAGGTGCAACTTTTTTTTTTACCTTCACAGTGTTTTACTGTGAAGTTTTAAGTGTAAAAAAATGGTCTCATGAAAACACGTTGAACACAAAAAAACTAACAATAAATTGTTGAAATTGAATCTTATTTCTTAATATTTTCTACTATATTTAAATTTTGTTTTATTTTATATTACAATAATCGTTTTGTATCACCGCTAAATTTTTTCCGATATATCTTTAAACACCATTAAAGATCGTAAAAAAATTTACACTATGACGAACAAGTTCATCAATGGAGCCACCGATACGTTCTTAGTGGATGTAGGGATTCAAAGATGATGCGTGATTGGATAATCTCGTTGGATCGTGTAGAACACACTTTCCAAATACAATAATTTGGTCCCTTATAGGCTCGGGTATCACAAATCGAGTATTTGGATAATCTAAGAGAAACTCTCTCGATCTCAAATGCTAGGAGATCAAGTTCTTAGTACACCCAGATTCTCGTTTACATATGTGTTTTGAAACTACAATGTTAACAAGTTTTTTTAGTAGAGTTGGTTTGTAAGGCTTTTATTCCACCCCAGACCTAATTTCGAATAGTGTTAGTGTCATTTTCTTAGTCAAATTGTGCCACCGATTGAAAAAAAAAATTCCATATATTTGTTTCTTATAGTCAAACGGTGTCTCCGTTTGAAATTTTTTTCCTATAACTTTTTTTATAATCAAATGGTGTCATCGTTAAAAAAAAAAAACAGATCCAATCCAATCATAATCACAACTAACCAATAGAGAACCATTATTTAAGTGGGTTATTATTTTAGATGGCTAATCTTATGCATGCGTATAGACCCACCCCAAATGATTGGTGTAGGATTCCTACATCCACTCGCCGCACGCCCGTTACCACCACCCTAAAATGATGTGGAAACAACCCAACGATTTGGTCCTAAGAATAATATTAGGTTTTAGTAGTTATTTGACAGTTGCTGAATGGTTTAATACATAATGATTAAGTTGTCAGAATGATTAAAAGACTCTGATGATATAGTGCAAAATTAAATATAATTGTTTGATAATTGTTTACAATGAAATTAGGGCGTTGAATGGTTAAGAGAGACCCATGATACAAAATCATTGAAAGGGTTTTAGAACCATTAAGAGACAAGACTTTGTTTTGTCAAACAAGATTTACCTTTTAACAATTCAGATGTTGCTTCTTATTAAAACTATTAAGAGGTAAACAAACAACCTCTTAATCCTTAATGATTTTATTACTTTTAAGGATAAAGTAAATTAAATCACAAATTGCATAAAAAAGTAACGTACTTTAATTTATTATGGTTAATGACTTAACGTACTTTTCAAACTTTCATTTTGGTATCTAAGATGTAAAATTTTAAACATTTAAGTACTCAAATAACAGGTTGAAACATTAACCGGTTACCATGGTGATGTAGCGAGTGATGGGATGAAATTGGGTTGAATAACAAATAATATTGAGTTGGATACCACATCAGCATGGTAACTTGTTAATGCTTCAACTGGTTACACGGGTACTTAAATGTTTAAGACTTTACATCTTAGATATCAAAATGGAAGTTTTGAAAATAGGTTACACAAAATAGGAATCAAATTAAAGTACGTTACTTTTTCATGCAATTTGTCCTAAATTAAATATAAAACATATTTACGATATCTTTTTCAGGAATTTGGAAATAAAAAAATAGAAATGAAAATGAAAAAGAAAGTTTTTATTTATGATAATTGAGAAAAGGCGAAGATCATGTAAGAAAGAGAGTTAAGGTGTGAAACGTAAAAAGAGATCTGGACCTTTAATCGTTAACACCCAAAATTGACGGGGAGAAGGTACATGTTTGTAGCAGCATGGTACAACTACACGTAACGTAAAAAAAAAGGATCCCGATGGGCACGAATATTAATCAAAACATGCATTTAATCATTGTACAACACAACTATTCATATGAATCACAACAAAATCGAGTTTTACAAGCGGTAGAACGTAAAAGTTACCTCACGAGCGGTTCACCGTCGTGCCTTTTGCTTGGTCTTGGTGTTGAAATGGTGTGATTTCAACTTCTTCCGCCTGACCACCGCCGAGGGTCCCGAACCCTCACGGAACGGCATTCCCATTAACGCTAAAAGTTTATACGCTTCTTTGTCGGTTGGAGCCGTTGTCGATATACAAACGTCCATTCCTCTCGGTTTGCCGAGGGCATCGTAACTGAGCTCGGGGAACACACTTTGTTCCTTAAGTCCGACGCTGTAGTTACCATTCCCGTCGAAGCTGTTAGGGCTCACGCCTTGAAAATCCCGGGTTCTAGGAAGACCCAAGTTGATAAGTCGGTCAAGAAATGCATACATCACCTGTCACAACGAGCCTAAAACATCAAAAAGAGGTATACCGCTACAACAAAATCGGATTTATCAGACGCTAAATATGTCTAAATGTCCCAATACACTGCTTTATAGAACATAAGTTTATCTTAGGTGCATCTTTCAGGCCCCTAAGATTTTTTTCAACTGTGCCGGGACGATGGGGCGGGAGCACGTGCACCCGCCCCTCTCTATGTAAGTCCGCCCCTGATTATTGATGTAAGCAAACTGTTGACCTCATAACTTTTGTGCTTCTTTTTTCCGTTTTCAATAGTGATGATTGTGTGAATGTAAGTATCTACCCTAACAATTCCTGAATCTTGAAAAGTAATATGTGAGGTCCAAGTAACTAAGGGGGTTGTTGGGTTGGTTGTTCATTAAGTCCTTTATGGATAAAGTTGTCTATGTGGATTAATTTGTCTCCGTAGATTGGGAAGACTTTTGTTTATGCGTGTTCTTCATAGATGGAAGGAGCGTGTTTTTTAATTGGGAGGGACAGGTTTGGTAAAATTTGGCTTTATGCATAAAGCTCCTCCCTAGAAGCTTATTGAATAAGTCACTATCTATATCATTAAGCCACTAACAAACAATCATGTATAGCTAACCAAATAAGTTGTGAGTTTCATTAAGCTCATTAAGCTGCTAACAAACAAGCCCTAACTTGAACATGGTTATGGTTTTCAAAGTGATCCTAAAATGTTGTAATTTGACCAAAAGGTCGTTGGCCAAGCGGTACTCGGGTTACTCGTAGAGCCCAACCTCCACAGAGGCCAAGGGCTCAACCTTGACCAAAGGTGAGGAGTAACCTTGACCAAAGGTGAGGAGTGTGTGTAAGTATTTGCCGTATATAAATATTATATATCTGAAAAGAAAATTTACAATTTCATGGGACAGAGGAGTAGTTATTATTGTAATACACTAAAAGTCGCATTTTCTACCATAGAACTTTAAATTTAAATCTTTAACAAATAGTCACGGTCGACAAAGTGTTAATATTTTAGTTTAACCAAACCAAATCAAACAAGCCCAATATATCCCGTCCTAAGTACCTGACCTCCACCCCCAAAGACCCCGGCTTGTACATCATGTGCAAAAATAATTGTGAAAAAAGAACATAAGAAGAACATTCGAAAAAGAAGAACTTGAAAACAAGAAAGGTAGCAAAAGAATTAATAACTCTAAAGCCTTTCAAAACCGAAGGAACAAAGAAGAAACTTACGTTTCCCCTTAGGGTGACGGCGATTCCAAGTGTTTGATTTTCTCTGATCTTAAAAGTAGCGATGGGATTTTTTGCTTTCGTTTTTACAGGTCTTTGTCCTGTGATGAGAGCCATGTCATTTATCGCTGCATCGAGACCTTTGTTGTTCTGCGCCGCATCTCCGATACCACAGTTAACCACAATCTTGTCAACCTTAGGCACCTACCATATTTCACATGGAAAATCAAAACAAGTTGCTGAATGATAATTTGAGTTTCTTAAATCAAATGCATTAGATGAGCCTTTCAGTATTGATGATATATATAGATAACATAAATGAACGTCATCTTTAGTTCTTTACAAAATGTGATGAGTGATGAATTCAAGCAAATAGATCAACCAACAGACTACAAATAGACAAAAAAAAAAAAAAAACAGTAGTGACAAACAATAGATGCGTAGCTTAACAATATCTTTCATACCTGATGTGAGAACATGTGGAACCTCATTAGATTACTCTCCGAAAGAGCCTTGAGAAGAGAAGGGAGGTTCCAACATATATTTAGAAGAATGGTCTAAGGCTAGTGGATGTGGGACTTTTAACATACCCCTTCAACGGAGGCCAGACAGGCACATATTGTCCCAAAGTGTCAAGAGGAAGCTAGACGAGTACAGAATGCCCCAGAGTGTCGAGTCCCTGGCTTGGTAGACCTTGGTTCTGATACCATGTGGGGAATATGTGGAACCCCATAGATTACTCCCCAAAAGAGTCATTGAAGAGAGAAGGGATGTTCCAACATATATAGAGGAGAAATGGTCCAAGTCTAGCCGATGCAGGACTCTTAACACATGAATTAGAATAAAGGCTCATGAAAGGCCAACAACTTAACAAATAAATTCACATGTGTGTATCTGCATTGAAGACCTTGTTTGTTTGAAAGCAAAGCCACACAAACCATATGACGGACAATAAATAAAAAGATTGCCGATATAGCAATTAGCAATTCAAACCATTATACTTGAAATTTAATTCTCGACAAGTAGCATACTTGCGAAAACACAGAAAGAAAACTCTAGCTGGCAGAAGATAATGAACTAAAAAATCCATCTTAAGCTATTTTACGTCCGTTGAGAGTATTTTATTTGCTATCTTCTACCAAAGTCCAACTGGAGTGTCCGTCTCTATATTCAAGTATGTTGGTTGCCTAAAGACAGAAGTACCAAGTACAATGATTTCAAATACTAATCATTCATTAATGACATGTGTAACTGAGATGAGGTGAATCTTTTTTGGTAATCGTGGGTATTTGGACCAATTTGCGCACCTCGACTAATCCCATGGGGCCCCGAAGATAGTAGCCAGAAAAATCCCCAATGGACTGGGCAGACTCGAACCAGCAAGTAGCAACCTACTTGCTAGATGAGTTGGCCCTCTAGGTTTAGATAGAGAATGCGTCCATCCTGCATATGCTTGATTATTTTACTATAAAAAGATCATCCATCCACAAACCAAGAAAACACATATTAACCTTGAGGGTCAGCCCAACCAGCAAATAAAGGCCAAACCTTGGGACTCCTCCCCATAAGTTTGAGTCTCCTCATGATCATTAGGGATTTTCCTGCCTGACGTGCACACAAACTGGTCTGGACACCCACCATTACCAAAAAACACCAATTTATCTCATCTATGCCAATCCAGAATACTACATTTCTATAAGAAGTCAAGATACTCGCCTCTTGCGAAAATAAAGAGGTACTTCGTAACATTCAGGATCAAGTAGACTGGTTTGAAATTCAAAACTGATATGAATTTTTCACATAGCTTATCTCCAGCATCTTTCTACAGGAAGTATTGTTACATATACTGATTTTATAAGTTTTTCCTCAATAGTAAAGGAACCAATGTTAAGTTGAAGAATTGTTTATTTGACCTCAAAAAGTCAAAATGTTACTAATTTGCCATGAACATGGTAATTAACTTCACAAAACTTATCCAAACGCCATGAGTAAACAGAATCATCACTTCTTGATGACACATTAATCACTTTTAATTAATAAATAATCTGAAATTTCTTCTAAATAATCATGACATGATTCCTCTGAAGCTCATTTAGTTATGTAAAGCCAATTCCATGCTAGTCCTCATCAATGTCACCATTTTCAAAAAAATTACAAGCAATTTCTAAATTCTCCCTAATTTCTACAAGCAATTTCACCAGTAAAATCGAAAGATAAACACGAAGACTAGAAATTCAAATCATATACCTGATGAATGTTAGTGTAACTAAATTCTTCCTTGAGCAAAGGAACAATCTTCTCGAAGTACGATGTTTTGAGACGATTAACCTTATCCGCTTCCGATTTATCCACCAACACTATCCCCGCCGCCGCTTCCGCCTTCACCGACAAACCACCGTAACGGTTCCCGAACGGCGGAGACAAACGAACGGAGTTCACCGGAGAAGCTGGAAAATGAGAGATGAACGAAGAGGCTGACGATTGTAGAAGCGCCATTGGAAGTGCGTGTTTGCTATGTGTGTGGATTAGATAGAGAGATTTTGATGAAATAAAATGCGAGGAAAGAAACAGTTTTGGTCCCTAATTTATTGCAAAATGAGTTATTGGTCCCTATAGTATCATTTTGATCATTTCAGTCCCTGAACTTTTTAGAAATCTCTAAAAATAATTACATTCGATTCCAACATATTCTCTCTTTTAAAGATTTCAACATAAATTATATTACTATAATATTCTTTAATTTTATCATCTCAATACATTTTTTAAAAAAACTTTACGACAAATTGCATGAAAAATAGCGTACTTTAACTTGATTCATATTTTGTGTAACGTACTTTCAAAACTTCCATTTTTGGTACCTAAGATGTAAAATTTTACACATTTAAGTATTCGGATAACCGGTTGAACACTAATTTTAGATTTAAAAAGATTAATTTTAGATTAAAAAAATCATGTCACTAATCACGTCAGCAAATAATACCGAGTTGGATACCACATCAGCATGATAACCGGTTACCTCAGTATTGTTTAAAACTTTACATCTTAGGTACCAAAATGAAAATTCTGAAAGTACGTTACTCAAAATATGAATCAAGTTAAAGTATGTTATTTTTTCATGCAATTTGCCCAATATTTTGTATAAGATAATAATAATTCAGTCATGGGATTAAACTTGGAGGTTTTTCTTGTTTTCTCTATTTTAGAGAACATTATAGAGAATCTGTTGGAGCAATATAGAGAACAAAACCCTTATTTTATCTATTTTAAAGAATCTGTTGGAGATACTCTGTACTTTCTTCGTATCAATGTTTTACAGAATTTGGTACATAGATGATAGTCTTTTGTTATGACTTTGATTTCTTCGGTTTTCTTTTTTATGTTACATTTCTATCTCCTTTTTGCTTTGTTACAAACACTGGTTTTAAACCAAATTTAATGGTATTATTTTATACCAGGGGTTTGCATTTTACGTTCAGTATATTAATTTGATTAAATGGTAAAAGTGTATATTGGTGTTTCCTGTTGTTTTTATGGTTTCATTGAGTTGATTAAATGTTGTCTGGTATTTCCTGGTGTTGAAGCTAATACTGATGCGTCAATGGAAAACAACGTTGGAAGTCGTCTCCTTAAGGGTTTTATACTAGCACGATCGATCAACATCGCCCCCAGTGAATCAAGGTTGTTCATGAATTGAAACTTGAAGATAATAAGTAAGTAGCTCAGTACTTAACACCGTTTTACTTAGAGCATCGAACTCAGTCAGTTTAATATTATAGGAGTAATCCTGTTCCTTGTACTGTTTAAAATTTCATTCTCGGGGTTGCAAGAAAGTTAAATAAGTATTATGTACTGCTTAGTTATACATGATCTTTTAGATTTCAATTTTATAAGCAATTACTGGATTCGTATAATTTTGTAAATTTTCTTGAACTCCATAAACTAACTAAGAACCAACTGATAAAGACAAGTACATACATATAAGCCTTTTTTTTATTAACCTGGATATTCAACCCGCTATGTAAGCCGACTAATCCCAAGATGACCACCTGCTTTGTGGGTAGCTCAGAGTCACCGCATTTATACATCTGTGGCCACAAGGGGATTTTTATTCCTTATTAGATTTGAACCTGAGACCTCCAGACCCTTTTGACCTTTGGAACTCAAGCTCAAACCAATCAGGCACCACCCTTATAGTTAAGATAGCCATTGAGTCGTATTAATATGACAAAATTATCCAGTTAGCACACTGACAAAAAATATTATCAGGGGCGGACGCACTACAAGGTCGTTGGGGTCCTGGGCCCCCAACAAAAATTAAATAGGAAAGCCCAAAAAAAAAATTTACTTGTATTTTGAGATTAGGTGTAATTGGGCCCCCAACAAGATGAGGTAAGAGGCCCCTCTTCAGTGCAGGAAAGTAGGAAACGAGAGTGAACTGGGATTATGTGAAGACATACCGCATACACGCTAACACTTACACGACTACACGAGTGACGAGCCTGCAGCCTGCTGCCGCCTGCGGCCTGCCTGCGACGATGCGACCTCACTTCTTCTCTTCTTCTTCATCGCTGCGACCTCACCTGCTGTGCCATGTCACCGGTGACCGGACACCGTGTGCGACTGTGCTGCTGCCGTCTGCAGGATGTAGGTAAAATTATATTAAAAAATGCTCCAAAGAATAATCAAATGGTGTCTCCAAGTATTCAAAAAGATATTGCTGCTTGTTTTGCAAATCAAATACTCAAATCCATTCGTAAAGAAGTTGGTGATGATGTGTTCTCATTGCTAGTTGATGAGTCTAATGACGTTTCTAAGAAGGAACAAATGGCGGTGGTTTTACGATATGTTGATGCACGTGGTATTGTTAAAGAGAGATTTTTTGGTATTGTTCATGTGACGGGGACATCTTCTTCAATTCTTAAATCTGTCATTGATAGTTTATTTGCTGAACATGGATTGAGTTTGAAACAGGTAAGAGGGCAAGGTTATGACAGAGCAAGCAATATGAGGGGTGAGTTCAATGGATTAAAGGCCTTGATCTTGAATGAAAATAGCTCGGCATATTATATCCATTGTTTTGCTCACCAACTTCAATTAGTTGTTGTGGCGGTTGC